CTGGCAAAAGACCCAACTACAAGATGACCTACTGAGGAGAAGCCCTCAGACCAGAGCAAGGTTCTCTTCCAAAGCCCATAAAAGGACTAGGAAGATGGGTAACCCCAGGACACAAACCCAAACATCAACAAAATTCACTCTAAGCAGGCACATTGTGAAAAGCTTTGTTTTACAGATGGCTGTATCTGAAGTAGAGAGGTGGAGCAACCATCCAAATGCACAGAGAGAGCCTGAATCGGGGATTAGAGCTGTAACGCAGGAACCTGCAACTCCTAGCCTTATATGCACATCACTGTTTCTAACATTTTCCATCTCTGCTGGCAACATGTGACACTTTCTGCTTGTATGCGTTGGATGTTTGGTAAAATAGCTGTACAAACAAGTTCTGATCCAAGTCTGATAGCAGGAGAAAACGTAGATCTTTCCACTTGCCTCAGTGCGCAATACAACAACACAAGCCCCTCTAAGCCTAAAATCAACCTGAAAAGTGTTTAAACAAATGTTTAAATGTTTATTAACCAATAGCTTTAAAAATTAGATTTGTCAGATTACGGTGAATTGCCTTGTAGGGAGACAAATAACATCAAAGGCTGAAACAGGAGGAAAACATGCTGTTTTAAAGCTAAACTTCAGTCACTAATTAGGTCAAAACATTCCTACTTATATAAATTTGAGAGGAACTACTCAGTCAAAAGCCAAATATGGACAGGAAATTAGACCCTACAAGATTTGTGTATGAAGAAACTTTTAATAAATAGCCTTTAATAATGTTTTGCTTTCCCATATGGAAATGCTGGAAGAAAAAAGCCTACTGGCATATGGGTAAGGAGTATAATGTTAGCCCTGATAAATTCCCATCATCAGCATGCACAGACACTGGAGCAAACAATTCTTTCAAAAGTGTGGTTTAAACATTTCTCATTAGCTACTGTACATCAGACATGGAGGTGATGACAGAAGTGAAATCTAGTAGCAGCTAAAATGCTACTGCAGTAATTGTAAGACAGATCTACAGGCAGCTGACAGCAGTCCATTAGTTTATTTAAGAGGCTTCATGCTGTAGCAAATAGTAATAGTAAATGAGATAACAGAGAAAGGAAACTTTGAGATAAACAATTGCAAATATTCCATCTGTCTCACAGCAGCCACTAAATGAGTGTATATTTTTTTAAAAAAAGAACACGCTATCTTCATTATTCATGTTTGTTTTAGTTTCACTTTTTTCCCCCCAATGTGCATTTTCTTTACACATAGCTCTTCTGCAAAGAAAACTCAAATTCCAGAGATTTTTCAATAGCAACAGAGCTGTGTCATGTTCAAATTTCTCAGAGAAGTCTGAGTGTTTACGTGTATTTTTGATTGTGGATATGTTTCTGAAAGACTTCTAATGTTCATAATACTACAGTTCTCTTGAGGGAAGGCAAATGCATATCTCAAGTGAGTTGTTACAGAATTCAGAGATTCCTCTGCATAGCTCAGAGCTGATATATAGTATATACAAGGGGAAGTTAGAACATCTCTGGAGTTCAAGCTTAGCAGGAATGAAATGTAATTCCTACTCCTGAAGGCACAATGTGCCTTAAACACCCGGAAAGGCTTGTTCTTCCAATTCCCATTTTTTTTGTCATCTTTCCATAGCTTATCTTAAAATGCACTGAAGTAATAACATCTATATTTTACCAGAGTAAACATTTACTATTCTCCCTTCAACTAAGGAGTTTTTCTGTGGCCCTTCATCAAAATCACATAGGTGTATATGGATATTTTCACACAGCTACAGAGTGGATATACTCAATACTATTTTTTGCCATGAGACATGACCACCATTTTTTACACTGTTTTACAAGAGATGGACTGGCTGCCTAGTCCATTTCCTGAGACCATGAGTAAAGTTAACTCTAATAACCAGTTCTAAATCTTTTGTTAGTCCCTACCTGGGATACCCAGGAGCTCCCACAAGACAAAAAACAAATACCAACTCTAATGCTCCCACACCGGGTTTTAAAAGAAAATCCACAACACTGCCTGATGCCCCAAGGATGCAAATTTCTCATTATTCTCATGACTCACCACAATATTAAATATTGCTACATTCAAACCTTTCAGCTCAAATTTCACCAACCCAAACAATCACAAAAAGCATTGGGCTGTATCCACAAGCTGGCTTCGAGAAAAACACTAGAATGACCAGCAGCAACGCAATAGTTAACAGCGTTGCCATGCAAGTAGTAATACTAGGCTTCAACACTAATCCTCTATTGAGCAGACTGGGAAAAGCTCATAGTTTCTTTGGTTCTCTTGTTCCAGTTTGGCTGCTAATTCAAAAAACATAGTCATATATCAGTTTACATTGTGAAAGTCATACCCACGAGGCCAGGAACATTCCCTCTCTAAACAGGACTGCAGGCTCATAAAATCTGTGCAAATGCATACACAAATCTAAGCCATTAGGGATGTCTGGATCTCACACCCCTGTGGATTGGTCACAAACATTTAATACAGGATGCATCAGCATTTTATTTCAGGTCAGAAGCATGCTTTTGTAATGACCCTTTCAATTGTCCCCACTTTGTCACCACCAGACTGTGTGGTGATCTTCAGGCACACAAACTCGATTCTGTCCTGATGAAGCTAAACTGAAAGATGCACTACAGCAACTCAAGGGCATTCAGTCTGCCCGACTGAGACTGTTCTAAAGCCAAGCCCCCAAAATGCATTCAGCAGATGTTTGCTTCTACAGACCCATTCCTACTGGTTCCTCCTCCTTTGTTAACGTGGATATAGCCATAGTGCCAGTTACCTTCCTAGATTGAGTTTTTTTCCACATCAAACTGACACCAAAACCCAAGTGATCTTCACAGTCTCCCATATTCTTTCTTTAAGGGAACCAAAACACCAAAGCTCACCTTACATTAGGTTTTGGGAAGGGAGGAGTGGGAAGAGGAAAAAAAAAAAAGGAATGAGGGGTGCTATTTCCTCAGTTATTTAGATTGGGAACCTAAGAGGCTGGAGACAAAACACCTTCAAAGACACCAAGGCTCAACTGTTGATTTCTTGGGGACTGGACACACTATTCATTTTTCATTTGGCAGCAGTGCTCCTTGGAACGAGCCATTGACTATTGCCATTAACACCAGGCATTCAGCCAGCAGGGGCAAGGATACACTTTACAATTTGCACTTCTAATTTACTGGGGTGTCTGGAGCAACATCCGGTTTGATACAGTAAGTTAAGCAGGAGTAGCAGGGTAGATTTTTCTTTTGCTCAGTTAAGCCTCTATGTATTCAGGTTACCTATCAAAAAAAAATTTAAGAATGTGTCTTTACAGCCCTTGATACCATGTCTGAGCTATGAAACCTGGCTGGGCAAGTTCATTGAATGTGAAACAGCTCCATACACTTTCTGTTGACTCCAGACCACCAGGAGGTACGCTTTGCCTCTTTTTACTGAAGCAATACAGTTCTTTGAGTTGCCTGCTCTACTGCAGAATACACTTAGAGTATTTCTTAGTGCCTAGTACTGGGGGCTGCTGTGTCTTCTCATCTGTTCCAGTAAAACACTCAACTGCAAGCTTAACTGTAAACACAAGTAATTCTGTCAAGGCCAAACTAGACTGCTTTCAGAGCATCTGTTTTTAAATCCAGTCTGGTTTTTTCCTAAGGTATTTTAAATTTCAGAAGCCTACTTTTATTTTCAAAGCAGGGTATTTTATGAGGTTACTCACAGGAAAAAGTACCGTAGTCTGGTTTACTGTAATCCCCACTCCTTTCCCTCCATGTCCTACATAGCCACCCTCACATTCCCCTTCTCACAGTCTCTCCAATACCCCAAACTCATTTTCCAATGCCTAACACTGTGCCACCAGGGTTCCTCTACATGCTCAGAGGTCACATCCAGTACCTTCTCACATCCCGTGTGTTGCCAACATCTGTGTTCCCAACATCCTCAGCACATGATGCCAAGCCTTCTGGTTTTATCCACTAAAGCACTTAAGTAACACCATAGCTCCCTATGATTGCTCCAAAAGCCCAACTCACAACATCATGTGCTTTACCTGTTTTTGGTTTGCTATCTGGGCAAGATGAAACAGTGCTACTGGAACTAAAATACCTGCTTAGTGCTAGGCACGCTTATCCAAACAGGTAAGGGCTACTTTTTACCAACATTTCCCTTTGTGGGGGCACCAATTTGAGTCTGTCTTCTTCACCAAGCCACTGGTTTTCAGGAAACTTTTAAGAACTTCACATTTTTAAGACCTCTAACCCATAGAGGAATTTGTCTGAAACTGATCCACCATGTTCAAAACTTAACACAGAGTTAACACAGACTTCAGTCTAGGCAGCAGGACTATTTCCATAGGAACTAAACCAGGTTAAAAAAATGCTGATTTTATACTGAAGTGAAACCATCAGGTAAAAGTGGATTGAAACCACCTCTTATCACTCTCATGAGGCTGGATTTACTAGATGGAGATGCCAAAAATATGCTAACGTACATATCGGAATACAGCTTCCAATACACCAAAAAAAGGAAAAGCTTTCTGGGACAGCTCCAGATTGCCTCAGTCTAATTATTGTTCATATCAAAACATCCTTTGGCTATACAGAAAAAGGCATTCTGCTTCATGAGGTTTTTAAATTATTCATATTCTTGACTTGTAAAACCTCTCATCTGTCACAGATTACTCAAGGACTCGCAAGAGGAAACCCTGAAAATATTATGCTGTCTTTACACAGGAGGTATTTTTCCAAAATCCAAATGGCTTTAAAATTTCAAGAAACTGTCAACAGAAAACCTTCTCATATCTCTGCTGAAGAAAAGGTGAGCATCAGGACTGCAACCAGCAATTCAGGAGCAGAAAAAAAACTTTAATATATAAACCCACTTAAAGACTACACTCAATGGAGCTGTATGAGCTCATTATTACCATTAGCCCATATTACCCTAATGCTTACAACTAAAAAAAGCAGCAAAAAACCCAAAGGGGAAGGGGGACTTACCTATGAGATACATGCCAATCCAGTCCCCTGCATCCACTTCCTCCTTTATATCCCAGTATATCACTAGGTCCTGCGAATGCCCAATGGAGTAGTAGGAACTGCTGACCATCAGGGTAGACCGGCTGTCTGAAGTGACAAGGTCCGTGTCACTGGTAGACCTAGGAATGGTGACCGTCTCATGGGAATTGTTCCTGATGTCCATGTTATGGAACTGGTCAGGGTTATAGCTGTATCTGAGAGGCTCTTTGCACCGGCGCCGATTTTGTGAGTTCCTAGATGGAGACGCCATGGCTGCCAGGCCCAGGAACCTGTTTTGGTACAGATTCTGCAAAGAAAAAAAGAAAGGATAGTATTTACAGTATTATTCATTTTTCAGTGATGTCAAAGCTCAGGAAAAGTTGTACATCAGCATGAGAAAGTAGCAGATCTTTTTCCATTTGGCATTGCAAAAAAGAGGCATGAAAAGGTGTAGCAGGAACCAGTGCTAACTCAACTCCTACTCCGTAATTCTTACCATGAAAACAAGTGTAAGAGCAAGCCTTGTACCACCAAGCTCAGCCACAACTGGCAGTGTGTGAGAAAATTAATAGTAGCTGGCTTCCTCCACATTAACACATGCATCCAGACACAAACATCACAACTATTAAACTGCTAGAGATCCATTCTCTTTTAACATCAGGAGATAGTCTTCACATTTTTGATACCCAGAGTTAAGTCTTCTCACCAGTAATTCTTGTTACATTTGCAGAGGAATCTTTCTTAAAGCGCAGTCGCTCCAGAGATCATATCCCATCTGGAGAGACTGGTTAGCAATGAGTAAGAGCTCTTCCTCCCTGCTGGAGACCTGAAGTGTGAGCGCCATGAAAATAGTTATCCCTGTTACCAAAATAGCGATGTCTTCACTGAAGTATAAATACAAAGTCAGTGTTGCAGTGTCTCTCAGTACAGCTGATAGCTTCCAATGCTCTTGCTCTGCTCCGTTTTTTGCAGTAGACTGAGATACTATGGACACCTGCTCTGGTAGGAATTTGGGAACACGCTGGACAATTAATGGGAATCGAGAAGGTTACCGCAGAGTAGTCATCGTCCTAGCAGTTGAAAAAAATATTTAAATTCCAACCTACCCTCCTTCCTCAAGGCAAGCTGAGTGACTTGTACAAAATGCGTCACGGTGCATGAGTTAAGAGCTCTTGTGAGTTGGCAGACGGAGAATGCTTAAGTTATGACTGGGTTAAATTCTGATGTGAAGACATGCTCTAATACTGATCAAAATACTGGTCATTCCTTACTTCTGTGCCATTTGTTTTTTCCATTTTCCTTCCCAGCTTTCCCTCTTCTCTCCCTGCAGCTCTGCTATTTCAATCACTCAGCTTTTCATTATTCATTAGCCTTCCGTTATTTGTCTGTTGCCAACCATGCTGTCAAGTCCTTCAGATACAAAACCAGACAGCTTTCCAGTATGCTATGAAATGCTTTTCACATGATCAGAAGTCAAATCATCCTTTTGAACTCAAACAAATTAAGCGGAAGAAAAATCATAGCTCCCTTGTCCGGCCAAGCAGTTATTTAACCCTGGCTTTATTAAGGCTATGGTAGCACGGAAGAACAGTAAGTCCTGAAAAAATATCTTGTTTATTAATACCAATTTTTGTGGAATAATTAAGGGAACTATTATAGTGTCTTAGGATTCTGTCGCACAAAAACTGTACAGAGAACAAAAAATTCAACTGACATGTTTGTACCCCTAGAATATGCTGTCACTTTGCAGACACTGCCCTACAACACTTATAATCCGTTGACCCAAATCCTCACTTGCTGCATTAAACAGGGTTAATAAGCAAAACCAGCTCCAGCAGGAATGCCACACCTTATAGTAAATGCTGGCAAGACTGAAGCTAACAATGCAAAAGGCTACGCTAGAGATACAGGAATAGAAGGAGGAAGGAAGCACGTGAGGGAACAAACTACATGGTGTTGCAGTTGCTACGCATCTACTCATGTCTTTGCTGCTTCTTAACAGTTACATTTATTCACTGTTTGAGAAGAGAGTTCACTTCATAGTATATAAAGACCAATATTCCCTGTAAACAGAAAATGCATTTTTTTTTTCCCCCCAAAAAACAGGGTCTCACATGCTGTGAACATTTTCTAAGCTGGGAAGCACTTGTGGACACGCACAACTACCACACTCTAGTAAGTAATTTAAAATCAATGGAAGTTTCTGTCACTTAGCAAAGACAACATCTGCTGTCACAACAGTACCTGAGATGACTACTATTGGTTTTATAATGGTGAGATAGCAACACTAAGAACTTCAAGCCCACTCTTCTGGATTAGTCTATATCATTAACATGGTTTCCTTCGCTCATAGCATGCTACCCAAAAGCTACTTCAGTTCAAAGGCAGACATTTTATTTCTGGTGACAAATTACTCCAGGGAGTAGTGGTTCTGCAGATCCATTAATATTCAAAAATGAAAGTATGTAGAGTATTAATTAACTGCATACTGTCAAATTAAATTAGACTTAAACATTTAATTTTTTTCAGCTTCAGCATGACTTTAAGCAGTTTTAATGAAAACGCTAAATTCATCACCATGTTCTAATTCTGTAAGTTCCCATTTTCCTGTATGTTGATGCCAGTGGAACAAATGGCATAATCTGAAAGCAAACCAGAAGGCCACATTCTCCAGAAATCTGAGTTTCTCCTATTTCCAGCATCGATTCTACACAAATACATTAATCTGCAAAAAAGAAAATCCCCAAACTGAAAAAATCCCAAACAAATGGGACAATAGTCACACATAATTATCTGGATTAAATAATGGCATCAAAATACAGGCACGGCTGTATGATTAAGTAGAAAAGAGATTAGGAGAAATAGTTACTCCACATTTTATTACCAGCTTTGCATGTTTTCCATGCAACTGGCTAAAGCATGCACACAGCCCCCAAGCCCTGGTGATAGAGTTGTGGCCATAGTGAGACAGCTTAAAAAAACTGCAAAGACATCCTCTCCATGTCTTGTGGAAGCGATCTGATCCATCATAGATATCTAGTATATAAAAAAAATATCTTTTTTAGGGGTTTGAGATTCATATTTATTCTCTCTATCCCTTTGCAGAGGTGTGTACACTATATACACTAAGCTATATTCTCATTTCTAATATACAGTGTAAATTATAAAGCAAGAACAACGAACAGCCAAATGTTGACCCAACAGCAAAACAGATCAAGCTTGGTTGTCAACAGAAACAAATCCCTCTTCATTCCTGGCTCAAAACAGTCACTCCATAGCTGCTTCTACAGTCAGTCTTTCCAGGGGTGTTTCCACCCATGGGCTCTCTGTACCAAATGACCCCCAGGCTTCACTTTCCCACCCACTCCCCTCACCACCTGTATGATGGTTAGCACTGAGGAGAGCCTTTGCTGATCAGGGCATCTATGCATGTAAGAGGAAAAGTGGTTTTCTCCTCATACCTTTTAACCTTTGTGTCTCGGATTATCAGATTCTGTCTTAAAAGGACCTGTCTTGCCAAACATAAGTATGTCATGCATATGATATGTTCAACATGTAAGCTCAAGCTTGTCCTAAGTTGAGGGTGCCAATACTGCATTGGTGACTCATGCACTGCTTGGCTATTTCCTATGTCTGAACTTATCTAGGACAGGAGGAATGAAGTGGCAAGAACGTACAATATTTCAGTTACATCAGCGATGTCCAGTTACTTTAGTTTTCGACACCTGAAGTAGCAGATGTAAAGGTCTTTTTCTTTACATTCCTCATTTAGACATACGCAATATGTAATAGAACATGCATAAGTAATTTTCAGTTTACCACAGAGTAGACAACTTTTAAATTAACATCTTGTCAAGAAATACAAATATCGCTACTGGACGAAAACACAGGTTTTCTACTGCTATCAGCTACTCTAGCATAAATAAGCATTTAATCCAATAAATTTAGTAGGGTTTTTTTATATCAGAAACAGCCCTTTTGTGTACAGACAGCTATGGCAACAAGTATTTAGCTATAAGATATTAGCATGCTGAGCAAAACTAGCTAAAGGGACATTTTTCCCCTCTCACTGGTGCTCCTTCTGATTTTCAAAGTTCTAAGGCTTTGTCTCTAAAGATCTACCAGCCAATGAAAGTCCTGCTCAAAATGAGATTTTAAGAGGATTATCTGTGGGCAGAACTTGCCTTTTATGTCACTTAGTCCACCTAAGGAAAACAAACATCAGAAAAATTAATTTAGGGTATTTTCCCCCCCATTATAAATGCAACTGCAATCCCTAACAAGGGAAAGTAGGAAAGAGCAGCCAAAAGGAAATGACAGACGAGATCTGATTGTAAAGAAAACTGATCTCAAAAATGTACACATAGAAAACCTGTAATCAGTAAACACCAAGAAAAAATATTTCACAGATTTCTTCCCATGTTCTTTTCCTTTCACACTCACACTTCTCTCCTTGCCTGATTGTTGTCTGGCACTGGGACAACAGAGAGCTCATCACCACTGCCTTTTCCTTCACCACCTGAGAAAACCATACTACCTCCCTCTCTGAGACAAGAAGAATCCTCTGGCTGGAAGGCTTCACACTATTATTGCTATCTGGATTTCACAAAAGGATTCAGAGCTGCCATGCAGCAACTTCCCCTGGAGAGCTCTAGGGCTTAATGTTAGAGGTTTTTTTTTATTTGGGATTATTTTAAATCATGCCAGAAAGGTACGTGATGCTTTAGCAATACAGAGATAGATCTCAGCTAAGCATCTGCAAGGGTCCAGCCCAATTCTCTGTTCAGACAATTAAGAGCTGTCTTTTAGATACTTGGACTGACACTGGTTACCTCCTATCGCTGCTTTGTCAGAGAAGATGTATTTGTGCAGGTCAGGATGGTGGTACGACAGACTTTTACTGTCCATGCCAAAGATACCATATGACTGAAATACAACCCATCACTGGAGCATTGGCAGATGAAGAAGTTAAAGGAAACAAGGTGACAATATTAGCCAGCATGACAGTGGGCTCAAAGTAAGACATATGTAGTCATTCAGATATCTGCAAGCATCATCGCAACCAGAATTTCAAGGGCAAGTACCAAGAAAGACAGTGAGATAGCTTTGTATGACAGGAAGCTTGGGACACAGCACATTTATCCATCTGAAAATTTAATAAGCCAGTAGTCAAGTCTAATATCATAGGCAAATCAGATGTGGAGTCAGTCTCTTGGTTGCTCCACCAGAGATGAAGGTTCTCCTGATAAGCTTTTAGCCTTCATTTGCAAGGCTTACGTGTTTTGTAAAAGACAAGAAGGAGCCAAG